ACAGACACACACACACACACACACACACACACACAGACAGACACACGCAACACACACACACACAACACACACACACACACACACAGACACACACACACACACACACAGGTACAGTATGGCATGAGACAGGAGATGCTTCATGAATTCCAGCGCAGGACTCTAGCAAACATGTGTCTCGTGTTCACTGGCGCATCACGAGTGTGTAACGAAGTCTGAAATGGCTGAAGACAGTATAAAGCTCACGTCAAGCTCTGTTTTGGATTCGGGTAGCCTGGCGTAATCTGCGCAGTCCACCAGGAAGACCATGCCGCTCATGGCTGGGAGAAGCTTCCTCCACTCCCCTCGAGCTGTTCAGAAACACAGGACACAGCTTGAGCACACGAGCGATCTGTGATCGAGGTGTGGATCCGTCTACTCACTCAGATCACAGGAGCTGAAGGTCACGCCAGCGATCCTCAACACTTCTGAGGCTGTGAGGGGAAAGAGACAAAGCCGAACTAATGAGCGCTTATTTCTCTGACTGAAAACAGACACAGACAGAACGTCTTCGAAAGCTTCTTACACGCTTCTATATCTAAATACTAGACTTTACAAGGCTTCTCTCTAGACTTTTCAGACCATATTTAACCTCAGATATATGGTTTTAAAATGTGTGTAACATTCTATGGATGATGGTACTGTAGCTCACACGAATCAGTGGACACCAAAGCCAGACAAGCTCAATATGCAGCATTTTATGAAAGGTGCAGTGCAGGGTCGGTGTGGTGAAATGTACACTTACTGGGGTCAAAGGTCGGCACATGCAGACCCAGTCTGTGCTCGTTCAGCATATGCAGAAGCGTCGTTTTGCCAGCATTGCCCAGGCCAAGAAATACTAATCTGCCGGACTTCTTGTACAGCCCTGAAACAAAGAGAGAGAGGCGAGATTTCAGAACAGGACACTTCAACTGGCCAATGTCCAATAAGAGCAGATTATTACTTGATTGGCCACTACATACTGTAGATGCAGCTCTAAGGAACCAAAGGGTGCTTCATGTTTCATTCTCATATTTGAAAACCACTTTCATTGTTTTGTTTTCTATTGAAATGTATCTGTTGTTTAAATAAAAGTGTCCAGTATCACTGACATTAACTTTACAAGGCAGCAGTTGTAGAGACAAACTTTAGGAATACAACTTTTGGTGACTAAGACTCAGAGGCTTACAGGTGCACCATTGAGAGCGTGCTGACCAGCTGCATCACTGTCTGGTACGGGAACTGTAGTGCAGCAGACCGCAAGACCCTCCAGCGGACAGTGAACACAGCTGCAAAGATCATCAGTGCCCCTCTCCCCTCCATCCTGGACATTTTCCTTACACGATGCTCCAGCAGAGCCACCAGTATCGTGAAGGACCCCACCCATCCCTCCCACAGTCTCTTCCAGCTCCGCCAGACTGCTCAACAGCTTTCCCCAGGCCCCGCCCCCCTCTGAAACCCCATACAAACCCCTACCTCCTGAAACATGAAACACCTGTAGTAACAAATTGTGGATATTTGTATGTATGAATATATGTATGTTTACATGCTCATGCACTACAAATCATTTTGCACTGTTCCCCAGCCAGCTGCTTGACTTACGATGTTTCTCTTTGCACATGTAAACTATTTATGTGAAGCGTTTGTATAGTTTGTATTTTTTAGTTTATGTATAGGTAATAGGGGTGTGACGAGATCTCGTGACGATATCCTCGTGCAGACCTTTCAGATATATTTGCATTACACTGGCTCGTTCACAAGTGGTGGCATGTAAGATATTTTGTGTTCACATCAGGCAAGTGGCTGCATGAATAGCGGGAAAATTACGCAGTGTAGTCTATATCCAGTCATAAAAACAGAATTCACAGTTTAACGTTGAATGTCATGGAATTTGTCAAATTTTGAATGAATTAATCAAAAGTAGTTACACTTAAATCAAATCACGATATGGACTAGTATCTGTAAATATTAAGCCGCAAAAGTCGATTTAAATATGAATCCTGCATGTTCTGCCTGTCTCTGTTAATGAATGGCGCAGACGCGCGGTTTCATTTACTACACACACTGAAGCGTGCCTGACACTCGTGGTGATTTCAGCATCTGCCGTCTCACTAAATGAGGACTTAAACACATGAACAACATCTCCAGAACTGCACTGAGAGTCACTTCATCAGCATCTTAGCGTTTGATTTGAGTAAAACTTGTGTCATATCTCATACACAGAACTGTAAAGGTATTCACGGCAACCCGTCAAAATAAAAGTCTGGTTTGATTTGAAGACATTGTGCCTATAACTATTTTTCAGTAGAATGTACATAGCCTACTACTACTACTAAAAT